ATTGTTTAAATTTCTCTGACAGTAATGGAAAGACAAAAGATCTAGAAGATAATCTTATTCAAAATAATAATTAACGTTACAATTTTTTTATTATTTTGTAAATGTGAGTTAAGCATTTTACTATTTTTAAGATAGTTATTAAAATCAATTTTAAAGAGGAATTGATTAAAGAGAGACCACATTAATAAATCATGAACCTAATCTAGATAAAGAATTGATACAATTTTCTAACTCAATTAAAAATCTTGTGATATTGACTTTATTAAACCTTGTGATATTGACTTTATTAATATTTTTTCTAAAGTTGTTCACCTTTTTTATTTTCACTAATATTTTGATAAGAGGCCTAAAATTGAAAATACACTAATAAAAAGGTTTTTTAAACCGTTATTAAAATTCAAAAAACTTGATCTGGTCTTTTATAGGCTCAATCAAATTGAATTAAGTCTTCTATTATTATTATTTATAATACATTTGCATGAATTTTAGTAATTATAGTTTTTATAGCTATCTAAAATATCATTCGTATTTTGTTTTCTTTAGCATTTATTACCTCTACTTATCTATGTCCACTTCAAGCAAAGCAAAAACAAACAAATAGAAAAGCAATAAATTCCCACCTCACAAAGCCACATATTATCTCAAGTTGGATTTCATTTTAAGTTTGGACCAGTAAAGGAGCCAAGGAAACAAACACTCTACTTTCAGGCAAAGATATGTGGTGTTTATATCACAATATACTATTACATATTCTCTATATTACTTTTTTTTCTCCAAGATTACGAGTATGCTAATTGGAAAGAAATTAAAAAATGTTTATTAATACAATGGGACATTATACTACCATTTTAAAATTGTTACAAAATATAATAATAAAGATTGACCAAATATTTAAGAAAAAAAAAGAATATTATATATAAGTAGAGGTACTATAAGTATTGGTCGTTTGCAATATGTGTGCGTGAGAGTGAGAGAGATTAATTTATTAGTTATAACTAGTGAATACATATCACAACTAAAAACATATTTATTTAGCCAATGTCACGTACATTTATTATGTTAATAAATTATATATGTCATAAGAATATTATAAGAGAATTTCTAATTATAACTTGCTAGGAAATCTCATTTGTAAAATGTTTAAATTATAAAAAAAAATGGTTTTAAAGAATAAAGAAATACACAATATGATTCTTTAAACGGAGAATATCAAGAAAAAAAAAATTGCCAAGAAAATAAACTTCCATTTATTATATAAAGACAAGAATACAACACAAAAGTAGAAAGGTGTAGTGGTTTGGAAAAGTAAAATAGAGTGCAAAGTTCGGTTTTCCACAGCATTAGAGAAAAGAAAAAAAAAAAGTGATTGAGAGCGAAGTTATTTGGATGAAATTGTTGTGGAGGGCTATGTTAGGTTTGAATCAATTATTGTCATTGTGAACCAAAATTGACCTCAGACTCCCACTCACCACCCTAACGTTCACACACAGCCTAGAACTGAATGCCTCCATATAATTTGTTTGGACGTATAAAGAATTTTATGAAAAGAAAAAAAAAACGAATCTTTATTAAAACTATTACACAAGTTAAAACTCTCAAGAAGATTAATCCTCGTATTTAATGAAATAATAATACTTCTTAGTCATGATCCAAAAATATATATACTCTTCTCTATTCCCTTTCTCTCTTTCCATTTCAAGTGTATATAAATATATAATAATAATAATATGTTAGCATAATAGAAAGGAAAAAAATAAAAAGAAGTAATATTAGTGATTAAAGTGTTTGATGCATATATAATAAGGGTTTTGATATATCATTAGTTGAGCACTTAAACTACACTGTTAACTGTGAAAAAATTGAAAAAGAACAGACAACATGAAGTGACACTCCTATATTATATATAGACGGTGGATGCAAGCTAGGCTAAGCAACTACATAACCGACATATATGTTGTTTATAAATTCTTAAGCTTAATTTGGTATTCAAGAGCGTCAGGGTCATGGATGCTTTTGAGCTTAAAATTCTGATTTCAGGAATTCTTGCTCTGTTAGTGTGTGCCTTGTTTTATCAATTTAAGAAAACACTTGGTGGCAATACAAAGATCTGTACTGCACCTCAAGCAGCAGGTGCATGGCCTATTATTGGCCACTTGCACCTCTTCGGGGGTCATCAACTTACGCACAAAACACTTGGGATGATGGCTGAGAAACATGGACCAATTTTCACAATAAAACTTGGTTCATACAAAGTTCTGGTATTGAGTAGCTGGGAGATGGCCAAGGAGTGTTTTACTGTCCATGACAAAGCATTCTCCACCAGGCCCTGTGTTGCAGCCTCAAAGCTAATGGGATACAACTATGCCATGTTTGGCTTCACTCCTTATGGTCCTTACTGGCGTCAGGTACGTAAGTTAACAACCATTGAGCTTCTGTCTAACAACCAGCTTGAGCCCCTCAAAAACACAAGAACGTGTGAGTTAGATGCTTCAATAAGGGGGCTCTACAGGTTATGGTCAAGAGAAGGATGTCCAGAGGAAGGCGTTTTGGTGGAAATGAAGCAGTGGTTTGGAGATTTGACACATAATATATCTCTCAGAATGGTGGGAGGGAAGCCGTATTGTAGGGTTGGCGATGAATTTGCAGATGGTGAAGCAAGAAGGTATAGGAGAGCTATGAGAGACTGGGTATGTTTGTTTGGGGTGTTTGTGTTGTCGGATGCATTTCCATTACTGGGGTGGTTAGATATCAATGGATATGAAAAGGATATGAAGAGAACTGCTAGTGAATTGGACACTCTAGTTGAAGGGTGGCTAGAGGAACACAAAAGGAAAAGAGCGTTGAGTATGAATGGAAAGGAAGAACGGGATGATTTCATGGATATCATGCTGAATGTTCTACAGGGTACAGAGATTTCTGGTTATGATTCAGATACCATCATCAAGGCCACTTGCCTGGTAAGTAAATGTTTAGCTATCTTGTTTGCTACTATAAAGACCTGCATGGAGTATTATCTGATAAACATACAATTGGAGTCCGAAGGAAATTTAGAACTTTGTGCTATAAACCATATAATTTAGGACTAGCTAATCAGATTCCATTGGTGGTAAAAGAAAATAAATAAATATTACCGTATCTGGCAAACCATTTTTACAAATCAATATTCAAACCACGGAAGTCTTTTGTCTGCCTTGCCAACGAACAAATTAAAAAGAATTTATGCCGACAGAAGCTCTACAGTCCAAGACATAAATTTGGAAAAGATTGATACATAGTTTAAGTTTGAACAGTGGTTAAAAATTTGCCAGAGAGAGACAAATTTGTGTTGACGAAACCATCATCACGGTGATTTCGGTCAAAATTCCCGTTTTTTTTTTTATATATATTGTTCAACCCTGTTCTTATTATTTCGTACGATAAAACAAACTATTCATATTTCGGCTCGTCTATTCAAGTCTTTTCACAGGGAGCAAACAACGTATCAAAAGCTACTAGTTTTGCAAGGCCACTAGGGTCCACTTCCTTAGAAGAAAATTTCTCTCTTCTTTTAACATCCTTCTGTCTTACAAATAGCAAAACCTATTAACGCCACCTAACCAAAGTCCACTTCTCCAAATTTGACGTTCTGTCTTACAACCTATACTATCACAACACTTGTTCTGTTCACAAGAAAATCTCAGCTTTTGGTGCATATCACCTTTTTGTTTGACATCCAACTTCGAATTACAACCATGGGCTTGTATATCTTGGCAGAATTTGATTTTAGCAGGAACTGACCCCACCATGGTCACGCTAACATGGGCGCTATCTCTGCTGCTTAACCATCCAACGGAACTTAAACGAGCCCAATATGAACTGGACACTCTTATTGGGAAGGACAGAACAGTTGAAGAATCTGACATAAAGAAGTTAGTGTACCTCCAAGCCGTTGTGAAGGAAACTATGCGCCTGTATCCACCAAGTCCCATTATCACCCTTCGAGCAGCCATGGAAGACTGTACCTTTTCATGCGGTTATCATATTCCTGCGGGCACACAATTAATGGTAAATGCTTGGAAGATCCATCGGGATGGTCGTGTTTGGAGTGACCCTCACGATTTCAAGCCTGAAAGGTTCTTGACAAGCCACAAAGATGTTGATGTAAAGGGTCAAAACTATGAGCTCGTCCCTTTTAGTTCTGGAAGGCGAGCATGCCCTGGGGCCTCACTAGCTTTGCGTGTGGTGCACTTGACCTTGTCTAGACTCTTGCACTCTTTCAATGTTGCTTCTCCTTCAAATCAAGTTGTTGACATGACAGAGAGCTTCGGACTCACAAATTTAAAAGCAACCCCACTTGAAGTTCTCCTAACTCCACGTCTAGACACCAAACTGTATGAGAACTAGATTATATTAAGCTAGGTGTGCAGAAAGCCTCGACGTTCTGAAATCTGGGATTTCCATCTTGTAATAACAATAGCATGTTTAATGAGGTACACTGTTTTATGATAGCTGGTGCAATTTGTAGTATAAAGATAATTCTGAACTGGTAAAAAAAAACAAACGAAAAGTAATGCAAAACATTCGCGAATATTATTTCTTTTTTATGCCATCTACAAACAGGATAACGCCATAGAGCCAAGTTAAAATCTTGGGCTTGAATGATATACCACCATGGTACATGTATTGCACACAAAAGCTGGTTTGCAACTCAAATAAGTCGACGGACTAACAAAACGTGATATACAAATTCTAACATGAAGATGTTACCTAACCACATGAAAAATAAAAAATTAATTTGAACATTACACATTGATCTGTGGTATATGCTGACTGACTAACCAGCATACTCTAATTGCTGGAAACCTTACCTACATGTGTCTACCGTCTACTGATCTTACAAATGGACATAGCAAGTACGTACGAGGAACCGGTCCCTTTAATACCTAGTTAGCAGTATATGTACACAAACAGATGTCAAGCCATACACGAGTATGACTTACAACTCTTGCCTGAGATAGCAATCAATAAGAGAATGAACTCGCCTCAGTGCTATACATAGAGTACTCACTCAAGCTAAAGTTTAAGTTTGGTATCTCTTCGTTCCACTTCAAAATCTCCTTGGCGTATTTAAGTGCTGCATCAACACTACCAGGCTCCAACCCCTTCACCAGGGACACATACAACTTCCCACCGGTAAGAGATGAAAAAAGCCTTTTAAATTTAACCGCTATGTAATGGGAAGCCAGTTGACCAAGGGAGGGATTATTATTAATGCTGTTGGTATTGCTGTTAGGACGATTGCGGCTGATTATTGGATGGAAATCAGAAAACCATTCACACTTAGACAGAGGAACTTGTTCAATTTTCTCCTCAAACAGATCAAATTTGTTTAATATCAACAAGAAGTCCATTTGCTCGAAGGTTGGATGAGTGACAATGGTTTCAAAAAACTTCCTGCTCAATACCATCTTGTTAGAGAGACAACCACTCCCATCGACAGAAAACTGATCGTAGTCACTCAAGGAAACACAGAAGATAACCATTTCAACATCCTCAAGCATCTCTAGCCACTTGCAATTTTCTCCTAGTCCCCTTGCATGCACTCTGATTAGCTGATACCTGTTAACCAGAAAAAGTGTATGAATCAGAAATAAAGGTACATAGTAGTGAACATACAAATATCCTTATGATTCTAATTCGCAAATATGAAAATCAGTAACATCATAGGATATTTCGGGCATAAATAGATATGCTTGAGGCAACAATCATAATCCGCACAAATAGTAAATGAATATTGTTAGCGTGAAAAGGAGAGTGTTATTTTGTTTACCATGGTGTGTGTTTGTGAGAATAGTGAAATAATATTGATGTATTTTCAGTCTATCTGTCATTGCTGTTAAAGGTGTATGTAGGTGTGTTGAGATTTCAGATTACTTTCGTTGTGGAAGTAAGGGAATTCCTAACAATTTATCCTATATTTTGTTTATTTTGGTATATTTTCATTAATGCTATTATTTTCCGAGAGAAAACAATTATACCATCAATTGGGTTTAGTCGGAGCCACAACACATTTCTGGTGCATAAGAACCTACCTAACAAAAGAATCATGGAGATCAGTAGAGTCAGCGGTTTCCTCAGAATCTGATTGGGGAAATGAAAACTCCGCACAAGCCACCCCGTTGGATGAAGTAACACCCTCGGCATAAAGGATATCCAAATCTGAGGGTTCATAATCCGTCCTTAATATTTTAACAGCCTAAAACAGAAAATTGTAAGAGTCAGAAACAACAGTGTCCATGAACAGCACAATTAGTGGAGATACTGACCCAACAATCTTTTCCTAGGAGAGAATATAGAAATGGAAACCTACAAGAACACAAGGAAGTACGATGGTGCAACAATAAAATAGTTTGATGAAGCATTTAATAATCCTTAACAGGGGAAAAGCAGTTTTAACTTGTTCTCATTAAACAGCTGAATTTGCTAGACTGAAATTTATTTGTTACTCTTCAAGTTTAACGCCTCTGTCCAACATCCAGTGTACAATAGTCACAACCTCTTCCTGAGAATATTTTTTACAACCAAGTTTATCCACCAGTCCAACACCTACTACTCTCATTAAAACTTGCCAAACCGCGTATACAATAATTATATTTACCCCTCCATTGTTTTCCCCATATTTGCAGAAGAAATTAATTGATTATAGATACAAATCCCATTCTAAAAATGAAAAAGCCGTTATTCCATCAAGAACTCAACTACCTACTTTTAACAATTAATGGTTTAAGCACAAAAGGGTTTTACACTATTGATTTGACACAAGCATTAATTCAATTAAAGAATTATCTTACCCGCTCTAAGAAATAACTGGCAACACTAGGCAGCATTTCTAATTCGCTTCTTCTTTTATATGTGGCCTTAATGGCAGCATCATTCCATAATTCCTCAATCAGTGGTGCATACTCACGAGTAGCAGCTGGAAAGATAGCATCAAGTTTGCCAGATACCATAGTTCTCAGTAACCAATCAGAGAAAGATTTCAATCTTGGGCCAATGGAATATACAGTCTTATCATCAAGTTTTGGACTATTTCCTGTAGAAAACCATAATGGTAACACTCAATCTTAAGGTATAAAATAGAGCAGGACATATGAACATAATTATGAACTATAACTCCACCTCAAACAAGCACAAATATGCCGCAAGCCATTTTGAACTAACTCATGACAACTAAATGATGCACAATAGTTGCTTCAAAAGAAATATAGCCAGCAAACCAAATAAAAAACACATATTTATAAAGGAAAAGTGTGTGTGTGTGTGTGTGTGTGTGAGAGAGAGAGAGAGAGAGAATGCATCCTACCTGCACTGTCAAGTACAGATGACTGCCTTTTTTTCAAATCCCCCAAACAATCATCTTCAAAACGCTCACGTCCCTCAAGCAATATGCCAAGGTAGGCATAAACATTGCTCTGAATGGTCAACTTTATATTTTCATGCTCATCTTCTGAGAATGGGACATTTTTGTAAAGAATCTTTGCCTGCCACAGAAAATTGGAATTCTGTGAATACATTGACTATTTCCAGCATCTCTATTGGTGACTTTGTCTTTTACATTGAGGGGGCCAGTCAAAATCCCATTTAAACAATCCCTCAGGTACCCATGAATAATCACAGGCATACTCCATCCAACTATTAAGTCAGTTGTCCATTACTACCAAAATAGGCCTTTCTGAACAAGGAAATACTAGATGACACAGAAGAGAGTAACATAATTGTGCATCCAATTAACACTTATAGCAACCTTTGCAAGATTGACACGATTACTGTCCACAATATATTGTGATTATAGGTTAATACTAATGTTTATTGTTTAGAAAACGCACAGAAATTTCTTTACCTGCAGTTTGGTAAGTGAATGAAGAAACAATTATTAGTATAGCAGGTGCCTATAGACCATATTTTGTCCAATTTAATGTAACTATCAATTCAAATAAAATATTAAACATGGCTTTATTCACAGACTTAATCATCAAGTAAAACGTCACCTGCTTAAAAATAGTGCTCGTTCCAGATCCACTGCAACCAACCAAGAGAAGCTTCTGAACTATCCCATGCTCCAGGTAGTCAGGAATTGTTCTGCTAGCTAGACTGGAGGGTTGTTCTCCCAAAGAATTTGAAGATTTGGAAGGAACTGGCAAGGACAAGAAAGCACATACAAGCTTCGTTCCAGCCTAACAGGCAGAAATGAAAAAGTACATTGTAAACAACATTTTGCAGGAAGGACACAAGAGAAAATACCTCCCCCACCCCTAAATAGTAATAGAGGTTACCTTTCCCCATATATAACCTCTGGTATTCCTCTGCCCCTCTTCTTGGTAGGAACCATCCTCATTGACCCAAAAATGTGGGTTGCCAGCACACTGAACTCCTGCCAACTGCACAACCAAAACAGGATCCTTTCAAAGATTTTGTTGAACAACAAACAAGTATGATTATTGAGAGAGAGCCTTTCAATATAAATCTTTGACCTGCAACATTCGAAGCTCAACTTTTGTTATCTCCCGACCATTGATGAAAACCTGAGTGTTTCCGTTACTAGCATCCGGTTGGATGGGGCCTCCAACATTCAGATGTGGACTTATAATTCTGGAAGGCTTCTGTCCCTCCTGTGAAATCATAAACCAGTCAGTATCCTAGATGACACTTCAAAACTAGACCACCATGGAAACACAAATGCATGTAGAAAATTCAAATAGATAATAAATAACAAATACCTTCCCCCAAAGACCAGATACTTTATCATACCAATAGTTTCCCGGCTTCAGCTTCTTTGGAGGGTTCGAGCAGTTCTGCAACGTAACCAGTTCCTCGTAAGAAAGTGGCTGGCCATTGACACAAACATACTCAGGTGGAAGCTGATTTGCTTCACAAAACCTCTCCGCCTTCATTATCTGCCGTACCTCCAATTCGTTAAGCAAACGTTTGAGCATTCGAGAACACTTCCCCAAACTCCCTCGTTTGGCCTCATCAATCGGGAATCCAATGCAACTCAAACATTTCCTACCCTCGGGCATAGACCCCATAGCTCTGAGCACACAATTACCACAATATTTGGCATCACAAACAAGACAAACCTCTTTCTCAGTAAACCTATTCCCCTTGAAGCACCTATAACAAGACCCCTTCTTTCCCTTCGTGAGAGGTGCCCTTTTAACAGGTTTACTCACAGTGTCCTCCACATTAAACTCATCCAACGCATCATCATCAGAGTCCACAAAGAACTTAACAAATGGGGCGCGTTTAGAATCAATATCCTCAGCCTTCAGTGACGAAACCCGAGTTGACGGATACTCCAAACTTAGCACTGACTCAGTGGATGCCCAATCTTGCTGATTCAACTCGTTGAAATCCAAACTCTCTTTTCCATCCAAAGCCCTTAGCACGCCAGAACTTCTCCCTGACTTATCCCAAAACTCAACGGTACTAGAGCTTCTAGTCTCTTCAAGCACTCTCGAGCTCTCCCCCAAATCGGACAAGTCGCCGGAGCCGTCGTTTCCGGTGGAGAACTCAAACGCGCCGGAGCTGCTCAGCTCACCGGAAAGCTCGCCGACGTTGCTCTGCGAAGCGCGGTGTTCGAACGCGATCACGGAGGTGGGAGAGACCGTCGTTTCCGACGCTAACTTGGAAACCCTAGGTTCGGAGCCGAGGGTTCTGAGAGGGTGGTGCTGTTGCGGCGGTAAGAGCGGCTGCACAACCGGTAATGAGAGAGCACCGGAGCTAGGAACTTGGGAAACGACTGCAGCGACCGGAATGTTGTCGACACTGATCGGCACGGCCCGAGGAAGGTCGTAGGTTAGCGGCGGACCGTCGTACTCGACGGCGAATGAATATTCGGCAGCTCGAGGCGCCGCCGGCGACATGATGGGAAAGTAGGTGCAGCGGAACCCTAATCTAATCGGAAACCGAAAAGCAATAGAAAAAAAACATGAAAGAAGAGCGGAAGTATCAGTAAATGATGATCGAGCGAAGAGCTAAGCGAAACAGGATAATAAGAATAATGCAATGTGCACTGTGTGGTGATTAGATTAGGGAATGAATGAATGAATGTGTGTGAGTGTGAAGAAAGCAAAAGGTAATTTTAGGTGAGGAAGGTAGAGAAAGAGAATAACAATAATATTATAACAGAATATAATAATAGAATAATGGTGTAGGTGAGAGGTTTTGCATTTCTGTTTATGTCTGAGTAGTGTGATTGGAGAGTGATGGAAGGAAAAGGAAATGAAAACAGTAACGGGACCGGAATTGGGGGAATCTTTCTTCTTTTTTTGCGATAGGGAGGGGCACGTGGGGTCTCAGCTGGTGAACCACTTGTCCTTTTATGCTTCCCACTTCCCACCCTATCCAACCAATATAATCTTCGTTTAACACACAAATTGCGTGCATTTATTTTCTTTTATTCGTAACTCCTGCAATAGGATTATGCTAGAGTCATCATTACCAATCTAAATTACGTTAGTTTTGTGGGAAGAAAATGCGTTTTGTGTTGTTTGTTCCCACCGAATCTTATAGCCACTCCATTCTCACACCTCTGCGCGATCCTTTACTTACAAGTTACATTCACTGTTTTATTCCTTTTACACTTACGTTTCCTTCTATCTCACCATTTTAGTTTCTCAATTATTAATTATAATTTAATGTTCCATGAAACTTAATGTGATTATCTTGTTTTTGACATTAATTCAACTTCATTTATTTAAAGACTAATAAATTGACTTAATAATGGTTGATCTATTGCAACAAGCCAACTTTAGTGGTCTTTCTATATTTCTTAACATGTACAACTTGATTGCAAAAAATTGTGACCATGCCTTGGACTACAAACTATGGTTCCATGGTGTAAATTATGAAATGATTCCAGCTATATCAATAAAAAAAGTGTAGTCTGATTAGATCGCTTACCATATTGGCATGCAACATTATTAGAATCAACATAACTATGAGTTCCACTGGATTTGATCTATGATGGGTGAGCATGTAGTATTCTATTCATTTCAAATAGTGCATAACTTTAGCAAGCTGTTCCTCCAGATCCATTAATGGAATATTACTCAAGTATATCCCTAACATAACCTCAACCAAATACCTGGACATGCATGGCCTCAACATATATACCAATCTCCCAGTAGTAGATGCATAGGATTTTTTATTTATTTATTTATTTATTTTTAGTTTGTTTAATTTCAAGGTGATTTTTAGGGGAGTAAATGAGGTTAATTTGTTGTCTTTAATAATACAAAAAGGTTTGCAATCCTACGTGCCAAACTATTTTAAAACTTTCAGAGTATGATTCCTTTGTCATAACCCAACAATAGTTTAATTAAAAAAGTAAAAATAGTAAAGAAGAAAATGAAGTCACGATTAACAATCATGTGTCCACGCAGAGCATTTATAAACAAATGTTTAGGAGATAAAATATTAGTGATTTTTGTGCGCATAAATACTAACTAATCAATCTATATTACATACAACTTGTTTGAACAGGGTGCATCATAAACTAGGGGAAATTAACCTAGTGAGTAAAGTAGTATGAAAGTTTTGGGTGTATAGTGCACTAAGGGAATAGTGTTGTTGGCACATGTGCAACTAGTATCTCTTGGACCCCGATTTCCTTAACGATGAAACTGGGGGGAAGTGATCAACACTACCTCTGGGTGGGTGGGTGGTGGTTGGAGTAGTTGCATTCTCGGAGACCTTCCACACCTTCACAGACTTGTCCAAACTCCCACTGTACAAAATCCATCGTCGCTCATTGCACATGGCGTCAAGATCCCTCTCCACGGCCAGACACTTAACTGGGCCAGTGTGGCCGGACAAAACATTTATGCGTGCATGCTCTTCATTCATTGACCTCTTCCATACACATATGCCCATGTCAGCAGAGCCACTGAACACTAAATTTCCTGCCACAACCAAGCACAACACTGCCAACTTGTGCCCCCTTAATATGCCCCTGTGCTCCAAATTTGTCTCCCGCACCCAATAATTCACCAACCCATCGGAAGACCCAGCGTACAGAAAATTTCCCTCACCACCCATCGCTAACGCTGTCACCGCACACTCTTGCTTCAACAATGTATGCGAGAAAAAATGTTTCGTCCCTTTTCCGTGAATCTCCCGTCGCCAAATCTTAACAGTGCCATCAGCTGAACCTGTGAAAATCAACTCTTCCATCCCCACAACAAGCGCGTTAACAGCATCGTCATGCGCTGCCACAGACTCTAAACACTTGAAGTTCGACGCTCGCCACACTTTGAAAGTTTTATCCCACGAGGCAGAGTATATATAAGCATGATCCTCCGTTAAGCCGAGACATGAAATGGCGTCATAGTGTTTGATCCACAACACGTTACGGTGTCGCTTCACTTCCACGTAATTACTTGGGTTCATCGAACATTTGACGTAGTTTCTTAACGTCGGCAATGTCGCCACACGTTTGTGTTGTTGCTGATTTTTCCCCGACACTTTCCACACTCTTATCCTTCCATCTTGGTGTCCCGTGAGGATTTTTTCCCCCGCGATCACAATTGCTTTCACTAACCCGCTGTTGGATCTGAACCCTGCGAACTCCCTTTGGTTCTTCCACACGCGAATATTTTTACTTTCTGAACCTGTGTATAACAAGTCCTTGGTTGCAGCGAGGGAGTAAATGTGACCCTCTTCTCGGACTAGGGACCCTACTAGAGCATCGATGCTGTTGGACATGGAAGCATCTTCGTTCACGTGAGAGGACCATGGGGATTTTGATAAGGGAGAGAGGGAAGGGTCATAAGGAGCATTTTCTATTACCATTAGAGGATCTATATGAGGTGCATCCAAAGTAACGGGGCTATTTTTTCTTGGATGGTTATCAGAGTTATAACCATCGAATTCGTCTTTCTTTAACTTTCCAAACTTTTGTCCATGGGAACTTCCTTCCTCTAAGAATCCATATCCTTTTCTCGATGGCCCTATCATTGTTATTTATTCCTTACTTGCACCCATGCAAAGTAGAAAAGAAACAATAACAGGCGTTGGAGGGAATGTTACACAAGTCTAAAGGATCAAAGCCAACTTAAGCTTTTATTCATTTGAAAGAGATATTAGGATTGATGATTCTTGATTCTTGATTCTTGCAGTATTAATGATTGGTATTGAGATCTAACTGAATAAACGAGGAAACGTTAATGATCTCTTCAGACTTCATTGGATAAACGTTTGGAGGTTTGTATTGAGGTTGAAAACCAACTTTGTTTGGCACGCAAGTTGTTGTTGTTGGTGACCTTGTCTCCATGGTTTTGTTGTCTAATTTTGTCGTCCCACTTTTTCTTTGTATATGACTACGTGGGATAACTTCCATGTCAAACTCATGAAAACCTTTATTTAGAAAGAAGGGTGTATAATTAGGCAAGAGAGGGAGAAGATCATGTTATGGTTAGATGATATCTACATTGCTAATATAAGGGATTGCAAATTTTAGATGTATGGAACAAGTGAACCAAATTATTTGACTTGTTAAACTAAGTTTGATATAGTCAATACATTAAAATTGTAAATTTTATCTATTAAAAAAAGACTAAAATTGGTGGTCTGTTGTTTTTTCCTATAACAAAAATCTGGTTTAATTTCCCACATTTTAGAAGAAAAAAATAAGAAAATTTACCATAGGACCTACACATTTATAAATATTTAATGAAATTTTAGTTAAGTGAACACTTAATTATTAGAGAATATAATGTTGGAGAATATTTTGAATTTATGATGACATATAATAGAGACAAAAGATTAAAAAAATGAATACAGATATTATTGAAACAATAAAATATTAAATTAAATAAATATATTTCTTTTTGGTATGTGGTTAGAAGAAAATAAAAATAAAAAAGTGTTTCTTTTTAATCTTATTTTTAACTCGTTTTCATGTTTTGTCTAAAAATCATTGTAAAATAACAAAATTTACATTAGAGGTTGTTATTTCATGTTTTTCAACAAGTTATCATCATGTTAATTAACACATTTTTTTCTATTATATATATATGATTATTATTATTTTCTAGGCTCACCTCTTATATAACAATTTTTTCTATCTCTCAATTATATGGTTTTTGATAGCATTGTAATAAAACAAAGTAATTGACAGTTTTTAACCCAAAAATTTAACACATAAGTAATAAGAGAGGATAAATGATTTTATCTCTCCACCAAAGTTACACACAACCAATTTTCATCTCATATATAAGTGACATTTTTTATTACTTTTAAAAAATATGTAATTGTATGATATATAGATATGATAGTTGAAACCATAATAACCCTTTATTATATAATAATTTCTTAGATGATTAAAAAATTGCTTATTTTTTAAAAAATAATTAATTGATAATATAATAGAAAAAATGTAAAACAAGACTTTTGAGTGTCAACTAATCAATACTCTTCCATGTATATAAATTTTTACTCTAATAATTTCAAGAGTAGAACAATCATATTCTTTACAAATTTTAAAATAAATTAAAGTTAAATTTTCATATTTACAATATAAGAAGAGAAATGTCTTCTATTGGTTGATAAATCTTATAAATTCAAAGAATTTTGCAAAATTGTTAATAAATATAAATAAATGAAGAGAACAAAAAATATTTTATCATAAATCAAATTGTTTACATTCACAAAAATTTTAAGTGACAATTTTTTTTGTCTTGAACTTGATGTGTTAAATATTGTATGAATATATAAATTATAATTGAAATATAATGTTAGACACTGACTTGATATTTAAAATTTGTCTACCTCCCAAATATACTTCAATTAGGTGGAAAACCATAAATTTTAATAGGCAAAACTTGAAAAAATTATTCAAAAATATATCATTTAAATTTGTGGGTGAAAAGATATTTAAAGGGAGATACTTATAAATAAAAATAAATATTTGATTATCAATTTCATAAAAAAAAATTAAAAATCACTGATTAAAAATCATAATAAGTTGGATTGCATGAGGAGGTATCCTCAAGAGACGCCGTTAGTTTACTTGAAAAGAAAAGGAAAACTACTAGCATAGCCCATTGTTTCTCCGCCGATACGTTTACATCAAATGAGATAGATCGCTATCAAACACATATCTCCAAAAATTACAGCACGTGCACTGTGCGTTGTCTCTATTTTCTCCCCCGGTTTTTAAAGAGGGGCTGTGATTTCGGTCGTTCAGTACCAAACTTTTAATTTCGATCTAATCAAGATTAAACTTCTATATGATCATCGCCTCCATCTTAAGAATAAAGGCAATTCAAATTGGTAGATTATCATATAACCAAAATAGAACATACCAAATGATATACAACAACCTATATCTTATCAAACTATTCTCACATCATATATAGAAGTTGCATAACTTGACAATTACTCTTAAAGGTTACATGACTTTTTATATTTTTATTTTAGTCATTCTTAGTAAAAGTTGCATGACTTTTATATTTCTTTTTGTTACATCACTCACTACATGTACAATGAATTCACTGCACAGAACTGTAATTTTCAATCTCTCAATGTATCATTCAGACAAAGATGGATAAAAAAATAAAATGATTTTATTTTTAAATTAAAATTAAATTATTAAAAAATTTAAAGAAATTACATTAAAGATTTCTTATAAATTAGTATTCAGTATAAATTATTTATAACTATTGTTTGACATCACACAATACCGCCAGCAGAATATATTTGGTGGTTTCACGAAAATGCGGTTTATGCAGGTAAGTCCTTTTATCAATGAACACGTATTTGTTGTATCCTGTTTGAGTAAAACAACAGGCTTTGGTTTGAAGAGAAACCTCAAAGTGATATATCCTTATATATTTCAACTTCTTTCACCATTTCAACACTCATTTCCTGGATTCAGAAGCATTCTACTGAAACAAAATCAAGATGGCTTCCGTAGTTTCAAGAGCTGGATCAGAGGATGACAAGTCTGGCCTCAAACACCTGAAGGACAAGGACTCTGACCCAATTCATAGTGTCTCAAGCCAGCTCCGGTTGAAGTCATCACAAACCCTTAACAAACAAGAAGTTCTTCATCGCATTCGACACCGCAAGTCTCTAAACAGAATCAAAGGCGCTTTGGAGAGTCTCTTGAGCAGCTCTGAAGGCAATTCAGCCACATCTCCAGACCATATTTGGCTCCAACAATACGATGTTTTCTCTGCTCCTTAAAATACAGTTCACTTGTAACTTTATTCCTGTTCCTGTTACGTTCTATTCGCATAATGATTGTCTGTTATTTTCTATTAGAGTAATGAGGATGAAAACACTGCAAGTTAATTATTTTTAAATGTTGAATATTTGTTTCTATCCCTGCAAATTATTAGGAAGAAAAGTATTGAATTGAACCATGATGAAAAGTGTAAAAGCAAAATGTAGATGGGAAAGTATTCATGTTTACTATTTTTAAAAATAGTTTTAAACTTTTTAACACTTCAAAAAATTAAAAAATGGTCTCGTAACATTTATTTAAAAATTAAGATTTAATAGATTATAATAAAATCAGGCATGTCCTCAGTAAGATTTAATAAAAAAACCAGAATAGAAATATTATTCTCAATCCTCTTTTCTGCTTTTAAGAGTATTTTTCCTCACCCTCAATTTTCATTGAAAAAATAATTTATTTCTCCATTTCCATTTTTATGATTTCGAATTTCTGTCATTTCGTTTTATTTTAAAAAAATAGTTATATTTATAATAAATTTATTTTTATATAAATAAATATTTATAATTTTTAATTATTATTAATTAAATATATATTTTAACTTATTATATTTATATTAATATATATATATATATAATATTCAATTATTTTTATATAAATATAAATATTTATAATATTATTATTATAATGTTATATTCAAAAAATTTATTATATGTATAAATTTATTATTTTTTAAATTATTATTTTAAAATATTGATAAATATGAAATATATAATTTATAACAAAAATTAATAAATTAATTCTTATTTAATTAATATAAAATAATAAACATTTTAATTAATAATTATTTTTAATTTTTTTAAGATATTATTATTTTATTAAGATAAGTTTTGATATATAATAAATAAAAATAATAAAAATGCAGAAAATATAATAAAATTAATAAATGTAAATTATAAATAAAATAATAGTTGATGCTACTAAAATAAATATAAAATATCTAAAATAAGATAAAAATTAATTTTATATTACAAATTAATGTAAGAAATTGAAAAAAAAAACAAAGGATTAAAAAGTAAAAAATCTAAAATATTGAAAATATTACTTTATACATAATAAAAAAAATACTTTAAAAACTTAATATTTAAAATTTAAATATAAAATCAAACAATAAAGCTAAAGTTTCCATTTCTCAGCCCAACTTTTAAATTGAAAGAAACCCAAACTCAAACCAATGGAGACCTCAAACGAAATAAAAATGAAAACATTTAACATTAAATAATTTCCTTATAAGTTCTAACTTTCTACCTCTATTCTACTCATCCACACAATTAAAAAAAAGATGTTATCTCTTTTTTTCTTCTTATTTTTGCCCAATAAAAATAAGAATGACCCAACAATAAATCCCAACCCCCGCATCATAAATTTTTCAAAATTTAACTTATTTATTTTTAAATCAAAATTTTCAATAAATTTAATAATAAAATTATAATAATTCCACGTATATATTTTAAATTAATAATATAAATTAGTACATTTCAATCATTCATATATATATATATATATATATATATATATATATATATATATATTAAATTAATATACATCAGTATATTATCTCAAAAAATTTGTAAGAAAAGATGATGAAGAATAAGAAAAAAAAAATAAGACAACTTTTCAAATTCTAGTTTTCCAAATTTTCATTTTATATATTATCTTTATATCTAAAAAATTTACAATAAAAACTAATTTTTTATTAATTAAACAGATATCGGACTGACCCGTCCCGCGGGATGGCCCAACTTGGGGAACTTGATGATGAACCAGTGCGAAAGTTTTTCATCCCTAATTTCACTTTCATTTAATCTTTGCTTGGATTTTTTTGTGTTTCACTTCTAATCCAAATATTAGAATATCTCTAGATTACAATTCAGTACAGTGGACCAAACGCAGCCCCAATGATGACAACTTAAAAGTAAATATTGTAACACTAACCTCACTGGCAAAAAAATGTTTAAAATAAATGAACATTCTTATTTCCTGCCAAGCACCCCTGAAGTAGAAAGAAGACGAAGTGCTTGGTTGGAATTGTTCAGAACTGAAGACGATCTTGGAACTGACATTTTTCTTTCCTTCAAGAATTCCAAGGCACTGTTTGAGCATTGAGGAGGACCTATTTCGCTCAAAATAACTGGTTTCAAACTGCAAATCACAGTAGGGATATTCAATTAATACAGGACAAAAAGCAATATGAATGCATAGACATTAAAATGTTGAATGGAGTTAAAAAGAATGGAATTTATACCCTAACTTCCTCGATTTTCTCTTCCTTGAAGTGGCAGGCTTTGTTTCATCATCTTTCTCCTCGTTAGTTTCAGAAAATAAAACATGTCTGCAAATAAATTATAACCTCTTAAGAGATTTTGCTCAAATCAAAATGCACATTTAGACACAAGAGAAATAGAATGATAGATCTACACACTTCTCACGCGCTGCAAGCATTTGGACAATGTTCTGAGGAAGAAATCCGTCAGCCGTATTTGGTTCTTCGTGAGGTTCAGAGTCTTTTACTTTTTGAGATTTTTCAACAGCTTTAGATGGTCGAGGAGTTATGTTTTGGGCCCATTTTCTCCGGCGCTCTTTTCCTTCACGTAGAACCCTAGTAAAAAACGCAGAGTCATTTAATTAGGCACTCACTGAATTCGGTTGTTCTGCGGGAGACCAAAATTATATCCTACAAGTGACTTCAACAAAGCTTAAGAGCACAAATAAGTATTTCTTAACCTATAAATTTTAAGCATATATCAATTCATAATTTTAAAAAACCAATGATAATATGATTTCCTTACATGAATTTGTAGACTCTCATTTCACAAATGTTGAGCTGAATAGCCCTTATATATAAATTGAGCAGACCCAAGTCTGTTCATATTTATTGAAACAAAAAATCGAAACCATTAAACACCTAAATGCTAATCGATGAACAAATACTAACATCAGAATGAGAAGCTCGCAAAGTCTTGTCTTTCAATAAAAGAGGGCTTGTGAATCTACTACGGAACATTCTTTGCCCTACTCCCTCTATCCCCAACCATCCCCTCGATGGTATTTAGACCACACTTGGAATTATCTATCTATATTGGTGAGTTTTTATTCCACTCTGCTGAACCATCTTTCAATAACAAATTATGGAAGATGCTCGAGGAAGTTAGGGTTAGAAAAAATGATGAATTATTTTAACCCTGAGTAAAAAACTTATTTTTCCAATTTTACTCTATACTACATAGATCAATCAGAACCTCATAACACAGATTAAAGCAATACCTGGATATATTTTCTCTTTTAATCTTTTGAATCTCTTCGTCTTGTAGTAGACCCTGCGACGCGCATGCTTGTGTTAAGTATTGATCATGTCCCAACCAGAAATAAAAATTATTCGATTAATTGACCCAAAAAGACTAAAATAGATACCTGTTCGGTTGTGAATTCCTCAGGGGCGTCGGAATCATTGTCTTCTCTGTCTGACATTGATGCTCCCTCTTCTGAGAATCTCTCTCCTTTGGAATCGAATCAGAAACTCTTCTAGGGTTTAAGCAGTGCAGTTTTTATCTTTTCTACAGGATATGTTAGACAGATAATGAAATGACTTTATTGGACTAATGGGCTAGTTCAGGTGATAGAAAAAGCCCAATAATGAATTGGTAATCAGTTAAAGGATTTGACCTTATTTTACACTAAAAATACTTTGTATATTTAAAATATATATATATATATATATATATATATATATATATATATATATATATATATATATATATATATGTATATATCCCAGTGTAAAACTGGTTATTTGATTTTTTTATTTTGTATATTTAAAAATATTCTATAATTTTATTTTTATAAAATATTTTAAATGAAAAGGAATAATATACCTAACTTCAACAAATTATCAAGTGAAAATTTAAAAATAATTTTGATAATTTACCGATAATAAATTATTATTGGCAAAAACTTTAATGTATATTAATAATTATTAAACAAATATTTTAATTCTTAAAAACTACAATTTTAAAAAATAATAATAATAAATAAACGAATCCTAAAAACTAATTTTTCAGATCACAATTAACAATTGATCACCTAATTATTAGTCATGAGAGTAATGATCGCCAAATTAATTTTACATCCAATAGATAAAAAAAAATACAATGCTTAATAAGGTAATGTTATAATTATGTATTAACATCATCGAATTATTCTAAAAATAACTTTTATACAAATATTATGCGTTCTAATTTTGTTATTTTCTTTCAGTATTTCTATTTATCAATTAATATCAAATAAATTTTTCAATGATCCACTATTCTTTCATTCCTCGCAAACACATTATTGTAAAAACCAAAATAAAAACACTATTATAAAACATGCTAAAATTTTATAAATTACATATCACACATTTTACATGAGATTATATAAATATATTAGTTTCATAAGATTATGTAAAGATCACATATGGTGTAATAGTGACATATAAATGTAAAGTTTAATTTAGTTATCTTTTTCGAAGTTGTTAAGTCACCAACACAAACATATCTAAAATATAAAAAAGTTTAATTTGTTAACTTTTGTTTCTAAAATAAATACACAAGTGATGTATTAATCAATAATAAGTCATGTTAAAACAAAAACACAAATGCAAATCAATGGTTTCTTTACTGAATCTAAGTCTTCACTAGTTTCTCTAGATATCGTTGTTGTATGGTCTCAACTAGCAGTAAAATTATATAAAAAATTTAATTTACAAAATTACAAAAATTAAAATTAATTTTATTTAAATATATTGTAGACCTATCTTTCCTAAATTTATGGAATCAATTTGTTTTTATATATAATATAATATTATACATTTAAAGTGAATTTTTAATTAAAATTTATTAATATATATAGTGTTGTGATTTAACTTAATTTATTTATAATATATTTATATTTATCAAAATACAATAACAAATTTGTATTATGTTTTTAATTATAAATTACATACTTTATGAGAAAAAAATGAATTTTAAATAAAATAGTAATAATACAATAATTTGTAATATTTTTTATATAATTGTTTCTTAAATGAAGTTTTTAAAATTCTTACAAAAAATATAATATTATTTGTTTTGAAATGTTTAATATTGTTAAAAAATGACAATATAAAATATAAAAATATCCAAATTAAATTATAAAACATTTGATTTAAATTTTACACTAAACTAAAATCGAATCCATTTGAATGTATCTAAATTAAGTTATTATTTAACGTAAATATTGAATTAAACTTACCTATAAACACCTTTTACGTATACAAAATACTGCATTTGATTTAAATTTTATATAAATCAAAATTAAGTTAAATTAGTTTGATTTTTTTTATATTTGGTTTTGTTAATTAATCAATGAAAATTAAACTAAATTTCAATTATGTAATTTAAATAAATGTTTAAAGTTCAGGTATTCTTTAACTATTTTTATTTATTTTTAATTAAACTTTGTTCAAGTAGAATAAAATTTTGTATTAAATTGATATAGGTTCCTTTTTTATCACTTAGAAGTTATCATATAAGAAAATTCAATTAGTATTTGACCAAACTTGATGGAAAATTCAAAATAAATAAAATGAAAAGAAGTGCAACTGTAATTGACCGGAAACATTTAAGAGTGGTAATTAATAACAATAATATGTTTAACGGTCTCTCACCAGCAAGATGATAGAAGGGTAAAATGCTTAATGGTTGATCATTAAAATATTTACCTTTTATTATTAGGATGTTATCCAAATGACTCTTCTAGTATTTTTATATTTTAAATATATTTATCAAATGTGACAAGTATCTATTCAGTTTTACGTGATATTATGAAAGTCAATTATTATTTATTTTAAAACTTAATTATATTTTTAATTGAGGTAAAAAAATAATATGTATATAAATTATCAAATTTGTAAGTTATACGATATTCAATAGCATATTAGAATATAATATTTTCAATATGAATAGAATGAGATTCTATTATTTCTCTAATATCTTCACTTGTAATAATTTTTATCTTGACTAATAATAATTTTTTGTTGTACGTTATATGTCAATAAGTATCTCAATCTCTAATAATATAATTAAAATCAATTAATATGTATAAAATATTGTATATTTTAAAATTTTAATTCAAATTTTTCTTAAAATTCAAAAAATTCCTTAAACTATATTTTGAAGGATTAAGAAATAATTTTCAATTATGATGAAAGACGGATAAACATCCCAAAATGTATGTTATTTCAGTTTATTTGATAAAATTATTTTAAATTGATCAAATATAAATATATACATAAATTTAAATATTAATATTGATGTTTAGTGAATATATATATATATATATATATATATATATATATATATATATTTGTACTTATCATTGAATTATTTGCCCTTCTGATTGAAACATAATTGAATAAACGTTTTTTTTTCAACTTAAAAAAAAAAAAAAAAACTTTCTTCTGGAAAAACAAATTAAAAAGCTCCTGTTTTTGACTTGGTGGCTGAAGCTTTGAATTTGGGTAAAAAATGAAGAAAATTAACCTAATAAAAAAGTTTATGTTCAATAATATTAAGACGATTGTACAGTACGACAGTTTTTATGATTGAATTTGATGTTATTATTGTCATTTCACATGCTTCGTTAAGACAGTCAAATAATACCGCGTCCTGGTTGATCTGAGTGGATGTTAGCTTTGAGAAATATGTGTGTGCTTTTAACTACCACTTGACGTGCTTTTATAATAATGTTATTTTCTTATTACATCTTTTAGATTTAAAAAATAAAACAAAAAGAATAAAAATGGTAAAAATCAAATAATTTTTTGTTAGATTTGACCTGACAATTTTGTAAAATTATCTACAATTTTGTATGATCGGATAACCCTATTATTTGAACGTAAGCAACAAAGTCCAAAAAAAAATTGTAAAAATTGAACTTAATTTTAAAAAAATAAATTAAAATTTAAAAAGTTTTATTAAAATTTAAATTTATTTAGATGAACTAAAATTTAATATAATTTCAATAAATTGAATTATTTTAGTTATATATTTATAAATAAGTATGTTTAATTTTACAATTATAATTAAATTTAATTCAATATTAAAAAATCAAGTTAAAATGACAATTTAATTCAGTTTTCTAAAATAGTTTAATTTTTTATTAATCCAATTTAGTTGAGAGCATTAATTTAACCAGGTTTGAAAAACCTAAAAACAATATTAAACTATTTTTGCATTTGAGAAAATTTTTACACGAGTAAATGAAAATTATTATTTAATTAAAATTTAATATTTATACAGTTACAAAATTATCTATATTATTTTTTTAGATTATTATAGCATTTATTAATGGTGAAATAATTTTGTAAAATCACGTTTTTTTTATATTTAAAAGAAAAGTAAATATATCCGTTAGTGGCATTTTTTTTTTTTGCGATTCTTCTTGTCATTTGAACAAGTAAAATTGTTACCATTTTTTTTCACTAGTCACTTTCCACTCAACATTTTTTCACTCTACATTTTCCATACAAATTAAGGAACCTCAATCTCTGAATTTTTTAAATAAAATAAAATCATATGTATATTTTATAATTTTAATAAAATTATCCTTTTATATTCTTATATATTTTTATTAAAAACATGAGGGTACGTTGTTATTACTTAATTTAATAATGATTAATAAAATATAACAAATGAAAAATTAGTAAAAGAAGCTAAAATAATATATTTTTGTTCATTTTGTTTAAAGCATGCTGTAATAAATAATACATATAGGAGGAAAATGAGGAGTAATATTGTTCAAATAATATATACAATCCTTTTATATATTTACCAATTGTTACTTCTACGTTTTCATTTTATATATTTTTCTTTATGATATTAAGTAAACCAATCAAGCTTCTTATAAGATGATTCCAGAATAATGAACAAATATAAGAGAAGTATGTTGACAATGATGATCCAAAGTTTATGCAAAACGTTATGTTTAAGTTCGATTCACTCCAATAATCTTTATAAAATCATATGCAAAAAGGTATATTGGTGGACCTCTTTCAAGATACAATGAAACTTACTATGATTTGCATATTTACATTAAGCATATCTTCAATGATTGTTCATAGAATATTTTTTCTATGTGCACAAGGAAGAAAAGAAAAATATTGGGATATAAGTAATACGTTGATTTCATTAATTTTCTTCGACTTTGTTATGTTTTTTATGCATATATTTATAGACAAGTTATATTTATAAGTACCATTGCATAAACGATTTTACACCAAACAATGTGAAATCTCATCACAACATTTTTACTTATATTATAAGTACCATTGGAAAACTAGATAAGGTGTGTGGTATAAGTCAAACGTAGTATGATTTGTCTTGTTTTGACTAACCAGAACTTTAGGTACAATGCGGGTAATTTGGCGAAGGGAAGAAGGGTATTTTGTGTAG